CCCGCCGCACGCAGGCAGGCGAAGGACTCCTTCATCCCGCCCACTCCGGTGGAGTACCAGCACCACCGCTTCTCCTCCCGCGACTCCGACGTGAGCAGCCGTCCCTCCTCGGTGGGCGTGGGAGGGCGGCCAACCCTAGAGCTCTACAAGGAACGGTCGTTCCAGCAATCGGTGGTTTCCACAATCAACGCCTTCCTCGGCTCCCACAATTTCCCAATCAGCTTCAAATGCAGCTTCCCCTCAGCCAAAGACATCCACGAAACCCTCAAATTCCTACTCTCACTCCTCGATTTCCCTCCCTCCTCGAAACTCGAAGACGATCTCCCTCTCCTCTTGAAACGCCTATCCTATCCTTTCAAACTCAACAAATCCATCCTCCGTTCCCCCGCCGCCCCTCACCAATGGCCTTCCTTCCTCGCCCTACTCCACTGGCTCGTCCAGATCGCCAAATTCCACCTCCACCTCGCTGCCTCCCCCAAACACCACAACGCGCTCTACCTCTACACCGTCAACAGCTACATGCACTACATCCGCGGCGACGACGACGCCGTCGAGGAACTCGACCGCAGCATCCGTGACAAGCTCCACCACGAGAAGGCCGCCGCCGAGGAGCGCCTCGACGCCGCGCGCCGCGCCGCCGCCGAGCTCCAGGCCGAGCTCGACGGCCTCCGCTCCGCGCCCTCGCCGAAGGAGGCCATGGAGGGGGACAGGGCGGTGCTCGAGGACGACGTCAAGAAGTTCCACAAGATGATCGAGGAGTTCGCGGCGCGGATCGAGCAGGCCGAGAGGGCTCTGGCGGAGAAGGAACAGCAGATGGCGGCGAAGGCCGCCGAGACGGAGCGGATCCGCGAGGAGAACGAGGAGCTAGGGCGGCGCGTGGAGGCGCAGACGTTCAATGCGCGCGACGTGGAGAGGATGAGGAGGGAGTTGCAGGCGGTAGAGAGCGACATTGCGGAAGCTGAACTTGCTAGGAGTGCGTGGGAGGAAAAGGTGTGGGGTCTTGACTCTGCTCTCTCGCACAAAATCAATGACCTCGAGGCTCTCGCTATGGACTGCAACCAAGCTCTTAAGAGGTCACATTTTTGTTACCAATTCGTTATTCACCGTAATATATGATGGTGCGTCTTAAATTCATTTTGATGTTGTGGAAATGCTTTTCCTGATTGTAGGTTGAAGATTGGGAATGATATTCAGTATCAGTTGAATGCTGAGGGGACTACTCCTACTGAGATAATGGGAATCGATCACAAACTCAAGCTGAAGCCTGCGCTTAGATCATTTGCTGATGAAATCAAGAAAAGTTCTATGGAAAAATTGGAGGAGTCGATTTCTTACCAGCAGAAGTCCAGTGAAAATGCTGCGCGGCTTGAGGGGAAAAGAAATCAGCTTGAGGCAGTGCAGTCGCGGATTGATGAAGTAAGTGCATTGACGTGTTTGGCTTTTTATATACGGACGATAATTCTGTTACTTGGTCTGTAGCAATGCCTATATTCAGTATGTAAGTCTTGATTTCAAGTTTTTGTTGTATGAGTGGAATAGTAGATGAAATATTTGATTTGGCTGGGTTGATGATTGGCCGGGCCAAGATAATAACAATCTTGATGTACCGTGGGAAACTCTTCTACCAGAAAGTTAGAATATTAGCTACAACTATGACTATGGTGAGTGGGAGCTGGTGCAGTGTGCATTGATGCCTGCGTTCTCTAAGTCGTTACTTGTACATTCCAATATATATTTACCCTTTTTTAGGTGGTAATCTGCTACTGTGTTTTGTCTTTTTTTTTTTTTTTTTTTTTTTAATT